GCATTACATTATTTAGTCGTGCAGTTAATAATTAGATAATTAATTTCTTGTGATAGTGTTGGGAGACTTACAATAAATTTTAAACTCGAAAAAATCAACATCTTTGCTAGTGAAAAAATCAACATGTTTGCTATAGATGTTAGGAATAACATTTATCATTTGTGCAATTATATAGATAATCTAAACATTAATGCATTCTAATAATTTGAATTCATACTAGAAAGAAACTCAGATCATAATTAAAATTGAATTAATTTATTTTGGAAAAAAAAAACTTGAATATATTAGCTTTGTAAATTATCAAAAACGTATGACAATCATTATTAAATATATGAAATAAATATTTTAAATTTACATATTTTCTAAAATCATCTCCAAGAGACTCTCTATTTTTAATCTACAATGATTACATTTAATAAGTTACAGATTGACATACTCTATAATTTTATGAATTGATTGGCCATTAATATATAAGAAAATTATTATTATGAATAAATGGTAGAAATCAATAAATGTTCATTCAAATAAATAAATAAATAAATAAAGAGTCAAAATAAAATGTTTGTTGAAGTGCATAGAAAAATTTACTCTCTGAATTTAAAGATGGTCTTTATTATACATAAAATACTTTTTCTAACTCCTTATAAAAAGGGGAAGGAGATGGCACTGTTGATTGAACGGTAAATGAATCTCATGTTACTGTACAAAATGTAAAAGGACATTTTTTTTTGTCTTTTTATTTTCATCACGCAACCGTCTGGCTTCCTCCATTTTTTAAAGTAACCTCCCATACTTATTTCCTTCATTCTCCACTACCACGACCGTAGAACTTCTCCTTTCTTCTTCTCTTTTTTCTATTTCGTTTTCCTTTAATTTCATCTTCTCGGTGGTTGACATTCTAGAAGTTCTAACCATCTATTTTTGTTTTCTTTTATAGAGACTTTTTATCATAGAACAATCGAAAGAATTATTGAAACAAGGGTTTTTGTTAAGTAAATATAGATTTTTGCTATGAATTGAATATATGTTGGTTTGATTTTATTGTGTGGTTCTAGGTAGATTTTTTTAGAGGGTATTATTCTCGAAAGATTAAGGATTTTATTTTGTTTTTCTAGGCAAGCAAAAGATGTAGTACTTCTAATGGATCACTTGGGTTGGAAAAAAGCCCACGTCTTCGGCCATTGAAGTTGGTGAGTTTGGATTTTGAATTTTTAATGATTTTGGTTTTTTGATTTTCATTTATGTTGTTGAAAGGTAAGTAGTAGTTTTAGCTCATTGTTATCTGGTCAACTTGGTTAGTCAAATAGGTGAAAAGAATATGGTAAACTAAAAAAAATAAATAAGCAAATAGTTTGATAGTTTGAAACTGAAGAAAACTATAGAGAATAAAAAAAGAAAAAAGAAGAAGAATGAACCAAAAAAAGGAAAAAAAAGAAGGCAATTAAAATCACTTGCTAGGACTCATGGGGAAGCTTCTTTTTGCGAGGTAGATTGTCAATTTTCACTTTGTTTCATTACTTTGGAAGCTTGTCATTCTTTGGGGTTATGCATTGTGACCTTAGAAAAATTTTCTTCTTGTTGATAGGAGGAGAGGAATCACTTCTCAAAACAATTAATTTTGGTTTATCCATATTCTTGGAGCTACTTTCCAATGCTATGTGTTTTTTATAATTATAGTTAAGATTTTGTCGTTGAAAAAAAAAAACTTCTCTAAACAGTACGTAGAGATAGTGTAGAGAGATTTGGTCTCTCTGCACAGTTGGAAGAGATCAATTCTCCGAACTGTATGGAGAGATTTTTTTTAATCAGTATTATTACTTGATAAGTGTGCATTTGTCTTCTTTTCTTTGGTCCATTTTTTTATATACAATTATTTTTAGTTTATTTATATAGAATGCTTTAAAAAAATAATCATTAATAATAACTATTAAGCTAATAAAAAATACACTAAAAAAAGTATAGAAATCAAGTTTCTCAAAAAATTAGTAACAAAAAAGTAAACAAAATGCATTTACCTATTTTTAGTTTCGTTTGATTCACTAATTTAATAATTTAAATGAACAAAAAAAATCATAAATGCTGTGTGGAGTGTGTGGAGTCTCCACACAATTTGTTTGCAGAGACTCCGCACTGTGCGGAGTTCGCACTTGCATGGAGTCTTCGTAGAAAAATGTGCGGACTCTGGGCAATTTGTGCAAAGGCTCTGCACTGTACAGAGTTCGCACTTGTGTGGAGTCTCCGCACAATTTGTGTAGAGACTCTACACTGTGCAGAGTTTGCAATTGTATGGAGACTCCGCACAATTTGTGCTGAGACTGATAGGGTATTAATAAGTACTTTTTGTATGGTAGCCATAAAGTTAACTATATTTTTTGAAAATTAATTATTGACTTGTGAAATTTTCAGAACTACTACTGCAATCTTGTTTATTTTATACAATGCATAGAATATCTCTACTTAATCTTAAAATTATATCATATAGTCGTGGTTAACCAAAAACGTAATGTAAGATAGGTTTAGAGAATTTTGAGGCTTCTGCACTATGCGAAGTCTCTGCAAGAGTTTGCATTTGTGCAGAGTCTCCGCACAAAATCGGTCTCCACACAACTTGTGAAGAGACTCCGCACTGTGCGGAGTCTCCACACAAGTGTGCAGAGTTTCTGCACAATTTGTGGAAAGACTCTGCACTTGGTCTTTCCACAAATTGTGCAGAGACTCTGCAAAAATCCCACAATTTGTGCGGACTCCCTTAATTTTTATTTATTTATTTATTTATTTTGGTTGATTCATGCAACTAATATTTGTTTACTTTGTTATTTAATTAAAAAAATATGCATTAAATTTAATAAAAAAAATAACTACAAGAACTTCAATATTATACAAAAAAAAATCCCAATAATTAAAAAGGAAAAAATCATTGCTAAAGAGCAAAAGCATCTAAACATAATGGAGAAGACAAAAAAATAAAAAAAATAAAACTTGTGAAGAGGAAAAGGAACAACAAAAGGAAACTGCCAAAAATTAACAACAATTATTGTTCAAATATGAAATTCTTGATTGCACTATACATACAAATAACTTAAATGTAAAAACTTTTGCTGTTGCTTTTTTCCAAAAACACTCACATGACTTACTATTTCATCTAATTTTTCATCAAATTAGCAGGTGAAGAGTATAGATTTATTGTATGGTGTTGAAAATTTTTTAAATAATCATAATAAATCTTCTTGTCACACTAATAAAATCATAATAATAACAATTTTTTTTTTGTTTTACAAATAGCATAAAAAAGTAAAATCAATTTCATCTTCAAAAAAAAAAAAACCACATTTAAATATTCAATTTCATAACCACCGTTCCTTTTTCTTTTTCTTTTTTGTTTTATTCTGGAAATACAAAATTGTAAGTTTTCTTTTACTCATGTTTCCACAATTTTAAATTCCCTTTTTCACTAATTTTTATTTTACTTTTTTTGTATGTACCAAAATTCAATGAGAACATCTACCCAAATTTATAATGCACGACTCTTCACAATACGTGTTTGACTTGTTATAACGAACTCCCAATGTTGATAGTATACAACGTATGCGATAATGCTATTATTCTGTAATAAACTTTGTACTCTATCTTCAATTTTCCAATGCAAGTATTTTCCAACTTATTTGGAGTTACACAAGATTTTCAAGTTCAAGTCAATCATATCAACACTGTCAAACAATGAATGTCAATAATAAAAGCAAAATAGTTTGTATAACCTCATATATTTCTTGTTTAACAAAATACTATTATACAATTGTAAAAATAATTTGCAATTATTTTCTTAGATTATGGAAACATTTTTAGATATTGCTTCAAAAATATTCTAAAAAACTAAAATTCATACGCTAATAAAAATACAACAAATACAAAATTCGTGCAACGCATGTGACAATGACTAGTATAAATAAAAGAGTCACTTGAAAGAACTCTATAATAGTAAAACTTAAAAGGAAACAATAATCTTGATAGTGTCGATTCTAAAATTTTCACTCTAAATATTATACAAACTGGATCGAAAAAGGAACTTAGTAGATAGCACTCATGAATGGAAAAACGCCCACCATGCCGTCCTGACTCATTTTACCTTATTTTATTTTACTTTTTAAATATAAAGGGGCTGTTTGCCTTAACGAATATCAATAGTTGTAGCTGTAGATCGCACTATCGTGATATCTATCTAAATATATTTTGATAGATATAAATTCACCTTCATCTGTAAACTGAACCTCACCCCATAAACTGAATACCTATCATGAGCGCTTGAACTAATAAACTAGGAATTGTTCCCAGTGAAAATGAATTTCTAGGAAAAATACTTAGGGGATATCGTCTCTATCGTCTGGTCTTGCTTTTCGTCTGAAATTGTATTTTTTGCTCCCTCGTCATGATTCAATGAGAATGGATAATAGGCTCGTGGGATTGACGTGAGGGGGTAGGGATGGCTATATTTCTGGGAGCGAACTCCGGGTATCGCTCTGAAAACCTAGTATTGAGTGTGCACCTTGAAAATACTTGAGTTTGTAGAACCCCTTCTTTCTATGGAAAATGTTTCAAATACGAATTCCACCTTTGTCGAGCTTAAAAGCAGTGATGATCTAAATGGGACTGAAAATTGATTATTTTAATCTATACCCTAGCTTGTCTCCTAAAAATTCCAAACCAGAAGGGGTATGGAGAGAGAGTCGTCCCACCCTTATTATTGTCCTCTCTCGAATTGACACGCTCAGCTAACATAAAATACACAAGGAAAAATGGATAAATCTATCGTGAGTAAATTTCGAGGGTCCCTTTTTCATACCGCTCATGAGAGGTCCTACACTTATCCCTGAGGCCTGGCAACTTATGTTTCTGCCAGAAATTAGCCAGGCCTCAACATTCAATAAATCATTGTACATTTTTTCTTGTAATTATTAGTATAATAAAATATAAATTCCACCTCTATTGGTTTCTCAAGGCAAAAAGAAGAAAATCTAGCAATGCCCTTGGATTGTGTCCATTTGAAGGTCAAGTATTTGATAATTTGGCTCGCTGATCAATCCATATTGTTACATGTAGAACGAACTTCTGATAATTTTGCCATATAATCAATAAATTTGTGGCCGTCCGTAGCTAATCACACATTCCAAATGTCTGTGGTTCAAACCAATTTTTGAGTGTCACTTTTACTCTTCGTTACTGGGTTAGCTTCCAACTCAAATATATCAGTTGTAGCCTCGGATGAATCTCAGCCCAATAGGACTATATTCACAGTTTCGCACCTAGGCATCGTTGATCACCTTTCTGAATCATAGTGAGAAAGATATTATACAAATGACACAAAATGTCTATCTCGGGAGATTGATCAATACAATATACAAGATCTAAATCTTTTTTTATTAACATATAAAAATATATTTCTATATTTTCTCAAATTAAATAAAACAAAACCTTATGTACAATCCCTTTCCTTCTTTCTGTGTAGAAAAGTAAAGGCATGGATGTCTAGCAGAATGCTTGGCCTTGTGTGCTTGAAAGACACACGAAGAAATTTGACATTAATTAAAAGAGGAGTCAGTGAGTATCTGCCGTGAAAATATTTCCTCTTTTTCTTGGAAAAGATGGTGAAAAAGAAGCCTTTGGAGTTTTCTTTGATATAATGGGCTTAGGAAGAGTGTAAGGTTTATAGCTATTCAAGCCAGCTGCATAGCTTTTTGAAGCCTTCATTTTTCTTTTGTAAGGTGTTTCTTTCTTCACCAAATCCTCTATGCTCGTCACCATTGATAATGCTGTAAAAGACTCTGATTTCCCATTATAAAACTTGGAGAGCCCTCTTCTGCACAAGATCAAGTTTGACATTGTAAGAATCGAAAATAAATTAAGAGAAAATTGATTTAAGATATGTTTCGCATGCGTCGATCTAAACAAACCCTCTTTCATAAAAGCCATATGATCTCAATACGATAATATTGGAAAACTTTGTCCAAGACTAGCTAAGAGTCTAGTTATTTTAGATCTCCTAAACATGTCATCATGTTTCCACACCCAAAATGAAAAATAAAAAATAAACTGAAAACTCCTTCCAAATGATGGATTTAAATATTACTTACTTGATGGGCAATTCTTCCATGAGATCTGTTAGATCATATAAACCTCCACTTGAATCTGCAGACAGAGAAGAAGATGCATCATCTGCCGTATCGATGGTGGAAGAAGATGATGACTCATTTGAAAACACGGAATCTTCCACCGATGAATCAGAAGATGATATGCAGTTTTCATTCTGATCATGTAATTTCATGTTATTCCCATACTGAAACCTTGATTTTTCAAACACTTGAGATTTATCTTCTGCCATTGCCGAAATGAAAGATGAAGAAAACAAAGGGAAGAAAAAGATAAGATGAAGAATTCTATAGCTTTTTTGTCTCAAAAATTCTCCTTTTTGTAATAATAATACATCAACTTTGGTACCATTAAATGAAACATATATACATGTGTGGACTAGGATTGTTTCCTACTGGAACAATGAATTCTTGAATACAAGATAAGGGCAGGAGATTTCCATGCTATCAAGACAAGATAATGACGTGTGGTTTGACCTAGAATACAAGATTTGATTGGACAAAATAATTAATATTAATTGGGATTATGGGTTTTATTAATATTTAATTATTTAAGATTTACAAGTGTCAAAAGATGATTAGCGTTTCAAGAAAGTTTGGTAAGTTGTCTGTGAGATTAGGGTTTCCCACAAATTGATAAATTCAACACTACAATTTTGCTTTAATTTGCCTTATCTTTAGATTCGACATCATCTCCTTTTGTGGTTCAAAATTATTTCTTGACTTTAGACTTGTACAAATTGGAACAAGGATAAGCTCTCTAGATTGGTACCCATCCATATCCTAGTCACTACGGACCAAATTATATGCATACATATACACACACAAAAAATTAAAGGTGGTCTTCCTAACCTTTCAATTGATTTAACTTTGGATCCTCAGCATTCAAAACTAGAGTTCTAAGTTCCCAACATAATTGAGTCTTCACGAAATAAAAATCATAAACGTGGACGTTAAAATCATAAGCGAATTTCACGTGATTTAAAGATGGAGGACAAAATTGTCCAACTACTCCTTGTTTGACAACCATTATTTGAACACTCTTGTTTTCTATATACTCATTTTCAACTACAATTCACTCAATAAAATATTATGTGTGTAAATTCAAAATTTTTTCCTACTTTTTAATCATATATTCTCCTAAAAAATCACTATTGAAAACATTGCTTTGACCAAATAATAGCCTTCAAATAAGGGCTTGATTTCCATCTTCAAGTTACATGAAAGTGGCATATGATTTTAATCTTCATATTGATAGTTTTCATAATGTAGAGATCTAGCCCCTGTTTGAGCCCCATTACATTAAATTCTATTACATTTTATTTTTCTCTCTCCTATTTTCAACTACACAATCTTCCATAAAATAATATTACACGTAAATCGAAAACTTTTCATTTTTTTCAACTACTCATTTTTCAAAAAAACACTATTCCCCCCATTAATTTTTCCACGTAATAGGAGTAAAACAGGGGCCTAGATTCTCATATTTAAATAGGTTAAAGATTTAAAACTTTATTCGTTGTTAAGAGCCCAAAACCACGTTACTTGAAACATTGGGGGACCCAACCCCAACATTTCTCTCTATAAAATAATATGAAATTGTTAAAAGTGAATTATGGATAAGTGGCACTTGAATAAAGTAAGGATAGCATTGACCAAGTTGTCTTACCTAAGCTACCTTAGCTAGAGTCATATGAAACATTTCTAATTCTTTTACCAACAATAACATGACATGGAATGGAATGGAAACCCATATCCGATACATATATAAATAAATTAGAAGTGGAGTTAACTTCTGTTGTAGTCCTTGTAGTTTGCAAAGAGTATACTTTCAGTCCCTAAAGAATTAAATTATCTATTTATTCATCTTTCCACTTCGCAGGATAATTCCAAGGGGTTGTGGAATTTTCTACCAAATGGGACTCTCCTTTCACCACCCCATGGGAATGGTCTACAGGGTTCACTTGGGATTTAAAAGTTTTTAGTAAATTAATATTTTTTGAAGGGTGAGTCTTTCGTGCAATTCTACTTGTTTATCGAGAGAAAGAAATGAAACAAATACAAAGCACTTAGCAAAGTGACATGAAATTTTATCTCTAATATTTGAAAATTTTCCAGATAAAATAAGAAAATATCATACTAATGTGAATTGCTTTATCTAAAAACTTCAATGCACCTCCTCACGAATAGTTGAGGTTCATTTTTCTAATTAAAGTTTGGCATATGAACAATTTCTTTAAAGAAGTGACAACAAAACTTATATTTAGGGCATTTGCGTGCTCTAATGACATTTTGAATTGCTTAATTTAAAAGTTTAAGAAATCAAAAATGCCGCATGTATATTATATATTGTTTAAATCTTGCCTCAACAATGATATTAACTCTTGTTCATACAAGCTACAATTTCACATTCCTTGTTTAGAGATAGACATGGGTGAGTTAAATTTAAACATTAGCGCACTCTGAAATCTAATCTTGTTTCTATCTTTACTCTCCTCGCCAAGACTAATTTGTTTATACACTTCAATCCCATGCTCACGGCAAAGTGTATCAAAAAAGTATGTGATCCTATATATTGTTGGTAGGACCAAAATATTAACACTGATGAAGATTTAGGACGAATTAGAAACAATTTAAAAATTAAAGTATGAAATGATATCGATTAAAATTTTGAGGATTATGTGCAGTTAACGCAATAATAGGAAGAAAAGGGGGGAAATATAAATTGTGGTTATGACTTAGGTAAAATTACTTATTTAAATTTTGGTTTTGACACACTACCAATTTCATGCTTATCCAATGCAAATAGCGTCATTATTAAGTGCCCTTTTCGAAAACGTTTTAGTCCACATATTCCATATTTAAACACGTTAGGTTTCTTTCACCTAACAATTTGATTTAGAATTTAATGTTTTGAAAATTAGATTGGACCGACCTTGTAATTGGACTTAAAAAATTATATCAATTCAATTGTATGTAAAATAAAAGAAAAATGGAAATCATTTAAAATCATTCAAGAACAAATTAGTCAGACGAGTTCACATTAAAAAAATAAAAACGACTACCCCATAATTTTGATTTCTACGATCTTAATTTTTTATCACCGCCAATTTCACTTTTCTTTCAATCAATTTTTTTTTTCCTATGTGAATTCACAGCACGCTTAGAATTTCTTTCCCCTAACCATTTTATTAAGTATTAATTAGAGGTACCCCTTAATTCAGTTTAGTTTAAAATTCTTTTAAAATTTTAGATGTGTCCATCTCATATTTTAAAGAATTTCATTAAAATTTAGGTGTTATGTTTCTTATGAATTTTATTTATTGAAAAGATTTAATGGATGTAAATGAGTTTTGAATACGTAAATACATACCAAATTCTTTAGGAATTTCAGCCCGACCCTCGAATTTCAGTGGATTTCGAATCCACAAACATAATTAAATTTTTTCTTACATTTGACAAAAATAAAATAAATTAAATTAAGAAATAGAAAAATATAAAATAAATAGTAATATTCTCATTCTAAATTTCAACTTGAGTTCTCGTTCCTATTAAAACTTGGAATTGAATTTTATTATTGACAACTATCAGATGGAACTAATTTTTATGTGGATAATTATTGTCTTGATTTTGTAGATTGGTTAAATTATTTAAATGACAAAGTTATGAGTTTTATGTAATAAAAAATAAATTTATGAATTCTTTTTTCTATTTGTAAAATTAAAATTATTATTTTGGGGTAATCTATTAAAATGTCATTATTATATTATTGTAATAGTAAGAAATCCATTTAAATTCAAGAATCCATCAAAATCTAGAACCTAAAATTCTGCTATAATCTTAAGAATTTTTCAATTTTGTGAATTTGTATATATATATATATATATATATATATTAGGTTTAGGGTGATTATATTTACACTACATTTTTTTTTTAATAAATACACCAATTCTAATTATATTAAAGGTTATTCACTTTTATTCATTGTCGCTCTTATATCCTTAACCTTTTTTAATCACATTCTTATTTTTAACATTTCATTAATCGTAAAATCTTGTCCTTAATCATTATTGTCATCCAAAAATGCTGTTAATATGCTTTAAAATAAGGGTCAAATATTTAATCATGTTATTGTAGTATTATTTATTTTACTTATTCAAAAATGCAAGGGACAAATGAGTCTTTTTCCTGTATCTTAAAGAAAATTTTAGAGAGAAACCATAATTAGAAATAATTTTTGTTAATTTGAGAATAAAAACATGGTGAAAAAATGGTTTGAGACATAAATATGATGGTGTATAAATATTATGACCTTTCATGCAATTAAGATGTCATTTAGTTATTAAAAACTGTGGTGTAAATATATTTAGCCATATGTTTATATAACCCTACCTAGCAGAATACCGGATATAGCTTTCAATTTAATTTTAATTTTGTTATATGTCTAATTTCAATCATGGGCAAATCTGTATAACGGTATCAAATATGTATAAAATGGAAAATCCTTCAAATATAAATTAGAAAATGGAGAAACAATTACTTTAAACTAATTAATCCTTCAAACAAGACCACTTTTTACGATTTGATTTGGTTTGATTTAGAATCACGATTTAACAAACAAAAAAACAACGTATATCGAACGAGTTAAATCATTAATATTAGTCTAATATCACATTAAAACATAAATATTAGTACCATTATGAATATTATAAATGAAAAATCTACACTTCTAATTATTACAACGCAATAAAATAATTGAAATGGTTTTGTGTTAACAATTTATTCAATACTAATTGGCGCAATATCTTCAGTTGTAAAACATGATTCATTCTCTATATAAAGATAAAAAGAAAAAATAACAAATAAATTTAATGATATAAACTATAAAGTATCTAATAAAATAAAATAAATAGAAATATCAAATACGAGAATGTGTTTGATTGGCTATATTTTCCATCCAAATTTTGATTGGCTATATTTTCCATCCAAATTCTTACTTTTGTGTGCTTGATTAACAATTTTTTTCATAAAAAATATTTTCCAACTTTTGGTCATGTAACCATATTTTCCTCAAAAACAAGAAAAATATTTTTATTTAGGGAGGAATGATTTTTATTTTCAGATATTTCACTCTCTCTCTCATATCTACCCAACAATAAAACAGGGACAAGTATAATATTTTCTCGGTCAAAAACTAAATCAACGAAATAGGTTTAATTAATAATTTTTATACAAATAATTTCTAGCTAATTGAATTATCTAAAATTTATTTTTTTTCCATTCAAATTCTATGCTCGCAATCAGACTCATCCCTATAATATCTATACAGCTTTCTCTAAATTATCTAATGGTTTTATCTTA